GAAATGTGTTGAATAAATCTGGCTCCAGTGAGCACATTATATAGAATAATGTTGTACTTGTACTAAAGGGGATTTCATTAATAAGTAACAGCACATTAGGTGCTTTGCAGACCATAGTACTCTTCCTTGATTTTAACACAAATACCAAAATATGAAGGCATTTTAAAGTAAATTTCTCTCATAAAAAAAAGTTATCACTCAATGGATGATATGTCATTTCTCTGCTTAAAGTTGTTTGGTTCTCGGGATGCACTTTAAGAGCTTCAACCTGGTGTAGTAATCAAGATTCTTCAGAGAAACAGAACCAATAACATAGATATGGAAAGAGATGTATTATAAAGAAATGGCTCCCACAGTTATGAAGGCTAACAGGTCCCAAGATCTGTGGTGGGCAAGCTTGAGAACCAGGAGAGTCAATAGTGTAGTTTCAATCCAGATGCTGCTGACAGGCTTGAGATCCAGGCAAAGCCCTTGTTCCAGTTTGAGGTCAAAGACATAAGATATTAAGTGTCTCAGCACAGAGTAGGTAGTCTGGCAGAAAGAGTCCCCTCTTACTTGGGGGAGACTTGGCAGAGGAAGTGAAGTGAAAGTCGCTCAGTCGTGTCTGACTCTCTGCAACCCCATGGACTATACAGTCCATGGAGTTCTCCAGGCCAGAATACTGGACTGGGTAGCGGTTCCCTTCTCTAGGGGATCTTCCCAACCCAGGGATTGAACCCAGGTCTCCCGCATTGTAGGTGGATTCTTCACCAACTGAGCTACCAGGGAAGCCCTAGCGGAGGAAGGAAAGGAGATTTTCCAGAGTTGGCGTTTCTGAACACACAGAATAATACCAGCTGATGGATTGCTCTCTGTTTTGAAATGGTATCACTTCGTCTGAGAACCTTTTATTTCATTTTTGTCCTCTACAAAGAAGAAGGATGCTTGAAGAACTGTTAAAAAGGGCAGCTCTCTGCCCACGCTCCATCCATGTCTTAACTTCTTCCCAAGTTTGAATGGCATGACTCCCATCTACATAGACTATCATCTTTTTTATACATTGTCTTTTGGTTCCAGTTTTTGTTTGAAAAAATATTGCTAGAAATGTGTTGAATAAATCTGGCTCCAGTGAGCACATTATATAGAATAATGTTGTACTTGTACTAAAGGGGATTTCATTAATAAGTAACAGCACATTAGGTGCTTTGCAGACCATAGTACTCTTCCTTGATTTTAACACAAATACCAAAATATGAAGGCATTTTAAAGTAAATTTCTCTCATAAAAAAAAGTTATCACTCAATGGATGATATGTCATTTCTCTGCTTAAAGTTGTTTGGTTCTCGGGATGCACTTTAAGAGCTTCAACCTGGTGTAGTAATCAAGATTCTTCAGAGAAACAGAACCAATAACATAGATATGGAAAGAGATGTATTATAAAGAAATGGCTCCCACAGTTATGAAGGCTAACAGGTCCCAAGATCTGTGGTGGGCAAGCTTGAGAACCAGGAGAGTCAATAGTGTAGTTTCAATCCAGATGCTGCTGACAGGCTTGAGATCCAGGCAAAGCCCTTGTTCCAGTTTGAGGTCAAAGACATAAGACATTAAGTGTCTCAGCACAGAGTAGGTAGTCTGGCAGAAAGAGTCCCCTCTTACTTGGGGGAGGTCAGCCTAACAGACTGGATGAGATTCATCCAGATTAGGAGGGACAATCTGCTTTACTCAGTCTACGGATTCAAATGTTAATTTCATCCAGAATCCTCCTTCCAGACACTCTCAGAATAGTGTTCAGCAAATGTCTGGGCACTCTATGATCCAGTCATGTTGATGCGTAAAATTAATTACCATATTCAGCATGGACCAGGGAAGACCCTTCAATAGTAGACCAGATCACTTTATCCATAGTCCTGTAAATTCTCCCTTCAGCCATTCAGAGCTAGTTTTATTGCCTTCAAAGCATCTTGACTGTTCACATCCAAGTGTTTTCAGCTGCATTTCCCTCTGCTTGAGTTCCATTAACCTTGTCTTACTTTGAATACCCAACCCCCTCCCCGACTCCAGAAGCAGACTTGAAACAAAATTCAAGTGGAAATCACTACACCAGTAGGGGAGTGAAAAAGGTCATGGAATCACCCTCCCCTCCAGGGCAGCCTTTGACAAAGTGACTGACAGGATTTGCATACAAGGCTTCCAGCTCCCTTGCTTTCTGGCTTTGCTTTCCTGTGGCACCCACTTCTTTGTGAGGTCTTTGAGGAGTGTTATCTTGTATCTTCAGAGCCTCCCATGGTTCTGGCCCACAGTGCTGGCCAGTAAATGGTTAGATAGTAAATGTAGTAATGATAATGACATGACGACAGTGACAGCCAGTATTTATTGAATGTTCCTTCTGTATAAGCACTTTACGTGTATTACCAACTCTGGAAGAATGGTAATTTTATCCTCCCTATGCTACCAGTAGAGTCTATTTTCAAATATAAGCTCGGAGGTCACATCTTCTGAGAACCCTTCCCAGTAGTCTTGACTAGAAGCATCTATCCCTCCTCTGGCCATTTGTAATGCCAGTGACTACTCTGCATCATGTATTCGAATTTCTCTACTTGTCTTAGCTTCCTTCATCTTGATAAGTTTCTACATAAGGTTTTATTTAAGTGTCTGATTTATTTTTGTGTTTTCTATTTCCCCAAACACAAGCCTTGCACATACTAAGTCTACCAATTAGTGTTTATCAGAAGGACAAATGGATACAAGGGGAGCAATCAGAGAGATCTTTGACATATCCTTTATTTTCCCCTAGAAAATATAGTCTTTTCCATCCCACTCTGAGATACCAGAGGTTCTGTTGTCATAGAGATGATTCTAGATATTTTAGGCAGTTTTGGGAAATAAAATTGTATTTTAATATATTAAGTTTAGAAAAAAATCTGTGAAAAGTTTACTTTGTAGAATTTAGGTAATTCTAGAATGTGGTTAGAAAACCACATTTCTGAAAAATAGCTATTCTTCCTCCTAAAATTATATTCATAGAAAGAATGAAAAAAAGAAATTATGTAGAAAATCACAATTGTTTCTAACAATCTGAATGAAAGAAATTTTGCTTCTTTGAAATTTAACTGTGGCCATCAAGAATTATCTGTGTAACACTTCAAATTAAATGCACTTTCCACTTCTGCTGTTATATCTCTAATCTTCATTAATAATTAACACTTTGAGGAATGTCATAGTGAATAAATCTGGCTAGGAAGTTGCAAATCTTGACTGAGTCCCATTGCTTACAGACCATCTTCTAAATACATGCTGTCCTGATATGTAGGAAACACTTAGAAAGTATAAACTAAGAATTCTCCAGTTTGGCTAATACAAAACGAGATAAAAACAAAAACCACAAAAATTTAATTCAGCAGAAATTTCTTTGTTGATTCCAATGTGTAAGCAGTTGGATTAGGTGCCATGGAACACAAAAGAACACCAGAGATGTTCTTTATCTTTGTAGAATTTATGATCTGAAGGTGGGCCTATGGAAAACAGATAATTTACAAGTTACTAGGCTGTGGGATTTGATGGTAATAATAGCTAATACTTAGTGTTAAATGATGTTTCAGTAGCTGTCCTAATGTTTTATATTATCTCATTTAATCCTTACAACAACTCTCTGTAGGAGGCTCTATTACTATCTCAGTTTACGGCTGATGAACTTGAAACTCAGTAATATTAGATAATTTCTCCAAGAATACATACCTGGTGAATGTGTGGGTGGAGGAGCCAGTATACAGATCTAAGCCTAAAGGTCCTTAAAGTCCATACTCAGAAGGCAGTGAACATAAGGTACCAAAGAGAACATTATTCATTCAAATTTGAGTGGAGCAGCTGTTAATGGTGCCTCAGCTTGGCCTGGAAGTATAAGTGTGAAAAGAGGTGGAGAAAAGCATTGCTTCCAGGACTGAGGCAGGAGGAAGGAAGCTAAAGGAAGCCTCAGAAAATAAGGAAGAGCCAAGCGTTGCCATGCCTGTAGTTGGCGGCATGAGTGGAACAGGGTGGTGAACCTGAGAAGACTGGTTGGAACCAGGTACTGTCGGCCTTGAGTGTTACTCCAAGGACTCTAGACTTTTCTCATTAGACAGAGAATGGTTGTCTGATGGTTGTGAATCAGATGCGAGCAGTGTTTTAAGATTGATTTGACAGCTACATGTAAAGGGAATTGGTGTCAGAAGTGGGAAGAAGAGCAGGACAGTCAGGAAAGCAAAAAACAGAGAAGGCAAGTGGCAATGAGAGTTGGGATTTGGGTGCAATCATGTGAGCGGAGGAGAAGAAATATGGAAGTAGCTCAGGATTTGTCATTGGCTGGATGTGAGGAACACATAAGGAGAGGAGACGATAACATATAACAGTTCAGAGAAACAAATACATCATTCAGCAGGTGGAGGAAGCATACATCTGGGTCCTGTCAAAGGGACTCACTCTAGAAGGTGGGATGAGAGGGGTTAAATAGGAATGGAATAACTGGTAGGGACACTTGAAAACACGTGGTTGAAGGTGTGGGTTTGCATGTGTAGCAAATAAGCACCTTTCCTGGTGCAGGGCAAGTGTTGGATGGATGGTGTGTCATTCTACAATAAAATGGTGATGCCTGCATTTCTTAGGTACTTCAGGTGAGCATACACACCTTTAAAAAATGCAGAAAATGTGACATTTAAAATCTGTGATTTTAATTTTTTTTAAGAATTGAAGTGACCAAAGTGACCATATATAACTTTTATAAGTGAAACAGATTACTGCATGTATATTTTGTTATAAAATATGTAATAATTTTTTAAAGGAAATATAAGCCCTAGTTGCTAAGTTGTGCTCTAATGTATATACTTTCTTCCTAATTAAGCATGATAATATAAGTCTGTGGAAAGTCATGATTTAATATTCTTTTCTACTAAATGTTTTCTTTAGCTCAATTTTTTTTGTTAGTCAAATTGGAGAATAGTGGTGTTTCTAGCTTTCATATGAGTTTTTCTTTTTCTTATTTTTAATAGATGATAATAATGAAGAAGAAGATGCTGACATGAAAGAAGATTCAGGTATTAATGTTTTTATTCTTAGGAGATAGACAAGGATCATTCTGTTGTTGATGTATACCTTATATCTTCCAAAGAAAGACAAAACAAAGCTAACATAATAGAAATGTACACTCAAAGTTACAAAATAAGGAAGTGGTCTTTCTAACTCATAGCTAATGTGTGCGGGGGTGGATGTGTGTGTGGGTGTGTCGCTTAGTTATGTCCAGCTATTTGTGCCCCCTTGGACTATAGCCCACTGGGCTCCTCTGTCCATGGGATTCTGCAGGCAAGAATACAGGAATGGGTTGCCATTTCCTGCTCCAGAGGATCTTCCTGACCCAAGGATCGAACCTGGGTCTACTGCTTTGCAGGTGGATTCTTTACCATCTGAGCCACCATTGAAGCCCCATACATAACTAATAAAGTTACTATATTTAAACATTAAACTTGACTTCAAGCTTCCTGAGAGCTAAGGTAAAAATGGCCCATGATGTAGTTAATGGAAGTGTATAACAAATCACCCCCAAAACTTAGTGGCTAAAGCACCCACATATATGCTGAAATATTCTGTGGGTCAGAAATTCACAGCAGGGCTGATTTGATAATACTACTTCACAGAATCTGGGGCCTCAACTGGAAGACTCAGCAGCTAGGGGTTAGAATCACAAGAAGATTTGTTCACTCACATATGTCTGGCTGGTGGGGTTTCATAGGTAGCTCAGTGGTAAAGAATCTGCTTGCCAAGCAGGAGACCTGGGTTCGATCCCTGGGTTGGGAAGATCTCTTGGAGGAGAAAATGGAAACCCAGTCCAGTATTCCTGCCTGGGAAATCCCATGGACAGAGGAGTTTGATGGGCTATAGTCCATGGGGTCGCAAAGAGTCTGACACGACTTAGCGAATGAACAGCAGCAGCAACGTATCTGGCTGGTGATTGACAGGCCTGTCACCTGATACCTTGGCTGGGGCAGTTTTCTGAAATACCTGTACATGGCCTCCTTCTGTGTTCTGGGCTTCCTTCCAGTGGCCAGTTTCCTTTTGGTTTCTCTAGAGAGTGAGCGAGCCAGACACACTCCTGTCTTAAGACGCATCCACAAGAATCCCATAGAATTACTTCCACCACACTCTTTTCTTTGGAGTGGTTCTTCACAAGCCCACCCAGCCTCAGAGGAACAGAGAATAGACTGTTTCCTGGTGGGAGTCAGTGAGGGTCTGTATAGCAGGTAGGACCTGAAAAATGGCTGAGGGAATCTTTGGAAAATGCATTTTATGTATGTGATGTATTGTTCTCATTATCAGAAAGTGAGATACATGCCTGCTCCTCATAAAAAAGACCAGTGTTTGATGAGAGAAATCTAGTGGTTAAAACCATTGGTTCTGGCCTAAGGTCAATATGAGCTTGATAATGAATACATCAGTCAGTTGGCCTGGATTCAATCCTAGCTCCTCCACTTAAAGACTCTGGATTAGAGTTTTCTCTGTTAGCCTCAGTTTACACTTCTGGTGGCAATAACTCTAACCATACAGTCTTGTTCGGGGGACTAAATGAGATATCATGCCTGAAATGTTCCTTGCATACTTGCTGATCACTTTGTTTACTCAACATTATATCTGACAGATATTAGAAAGTACAGGGCTCAGTTCTGTGGGACGAGAGCCCCGTGTCTCTCACTTTGGCATCATGCTGCTCTAGACGCAAGATGGGGCCTGTTTTCAGAACTGAAATAGACATCTTACAGACCTTCATTTTGTGTGACCTCCTGTTGCTGCCAGACTCCCTACAGATCACTGACGCCTTGGTTCCAAGCAGCTCCACAAACAGGGAGCTCTTTAAACTGTGAGCCAGACAGTCTCATTGGGCAAGGTTTGGTTAAGATCATCCTTCTCCTTGTGAAATTCAATCTCTAGCCCTCACCTGACCTCCCACTGTCCTCATGGAGGAATAATCTGTTCTTTTTGGTAGTAACAGTTCACTGGAGCAACAGTCTGACATTCTATCCACTCTTGTACCCCCCTCTGGCCTCCCCAGAGCCATGGATTCAAGGGGCATGGTAGGCAGAGGGAGGATCTCAAAGTCAGGAGTAGAATGGAGGAGGGGGAGGAGGGACAAACCAGCATCTCTTGAGTTCCTTCGCTATAGCCCCCTTGGCAGTCCGGTTGTTGTACAACACAGGCAGCTTTCTAAGGAAGGTTCTTGTCTCTGTTCATGAAAGAAAACTGAAAGTATCAGGGAGTTAACTTCTCTGGAGTACCTTTCAGCCAAAGTTGAGCAGGAGATGGTTGATCAATACCATTGCCTGATGCATCTGAGGCATGCCCTAGACCAGCACTGCCCAGTAGAAATTATCAATGCCCAGCCTGATAATTCAGATAATTTCAGATTTTCTTTTAGTCACATCGAAAAAGGTAGAAAGAAACAAGTGAAATTAACATTGCCTGTATCATATCAAAACTATTATCATTTCGACATAAGCAATGTAAAAATTGGTCAGATATTTTGCATTCTTTATTTTTCCATACTGTTTTTAAAATTTGTGTGTAGTTCACATGCATATTTTAAATCAGACTATTCACATTCCAGTATCATTGGTGATATGTAATAGTAGACAGCGGGATTCAGTACTATCACCCAGAGGCTCCTGGTAGAAATGAACTGTCCACAGCTGACTTTCTCATTAATACATGTATTGGTCGTCCTTCCTTTCTGGTCTTACCTCCCTGCTCCCCTCTGCTGCTTCCCGGGATAATCTCTCAAATTAAGTACTTGCACTCAAATGTTTGTCTATTTGTCTTTTGAGAAAATTCAACTTAAGACAAGGACTCTGCTTCCCTTTTGTAAAACATAAAGCCCAAGGCAAAATTTCAATTAAAATATCAATTACTATACTCAGGATAGCTAATTATTTAAAAGAACCATAGATTGAAAAAAGTGGTCAGTTCAGTTGCTCAGTCATGTACAACTCTTTGCGACTCCATGGACTGCAGCATACCAGGCCTCCCTGTCCATCACCAACTCCCGGAGTTTACTCAAACTCATGTCGATTGAGCTGGTGATGCCATCGAACCATCTCATCCTCTGTTGTCCCCTTCTCCTCCCACCTTCAATCTTTCCCAGCTTCAGGATTTTTTCCAACAAGTCAGTTCTTCGCATCAGGTGGCCAAAGTATTGGAGTTTCAGCTTCAGCATCAGTTCTTCTAATGAACACCCAGAACTGATCTCCTCTAGGATGTACCGGTTGGATCTCCTTGCAGTCCAAGGGACTCTCAAGAGTCTTCTCCAACACCACAGTTCAAAAGCATCAATTCTTCACTGCTCAGCTTTCTTTATAGTCCAACTCTCACATCCATACATGACTACTGGAAAAACCACAGCCTTGGCCAGACGGACCTTTGTTGGCAAAGTAATGTCTCTGCTTTTGAATATGCTATCTAGGTTGGTCATAACTTTTCTTCCAAGGAGCAAGTGTCTTTTAATTTCATGGCTGCAATCACCATCTGCAGTAATTTTGGAGCCCCAGAAAATAGTCTGTCACTGTTTCCACTGTTTCCCCATCTATTTGCCATGAAGTGATGGGACCAGATGCCATGATCCTAGTTTTCTGAATGTTGAGATTTAAGCCAACTTTTTCACTGTCCTCTATCACTTTCATCAAGAGGCTCTTTAGTTCTTCTTCACTTTCTGCCATAAGGGTGGTGTCATCTGCATATCTGAGGTTATTGATATTTCTCCCGGCAATCTTGATTCCAGCTTGTGCTTCATCCAGCCCAGCATTTCTCGTGATGTATTCTGCATATAAGTTAAATAAGCGGGGTGACAATATATAGCCTTGATGTACTACTTTCCCTATTTGGAACCAGTCTGTTGTTTCATGTCCAATTTTAATTGTTGCTTCCTGATCTGCATATAGATTTCTCAAGAGGCAGATCAGGTGGTCTGGTATTCCCATCTCTTTAAGAATTTCCCACAGTTTGTTGCAATCCACACAGTCAAAGGCTTTGGCATAATCAATAAAGCAGAAATAGATGTTTTTCTGGAACTCTTTTGCTTTTTTGATAACCCAACGGCTGTTGGTAATTTGATCTCTGGTTCCTCTGCCTTTTCTAAAATCCTCTTGAATATCTGGAAATTCACAGATTATGTACTGTTGAACCCTGGCTTGGAGAATTTTGAGCATTACTTTACTAGTGTGTGAGATTAGTGCAATTGTACGGTAGTTTGAGCATTCTTTGACATTGCCTTTCTTTGAGATTAGAATGAAAGCTGACCTTTTCCAGTCCTGTGGCCACTGCTGAGTTTTCCAAATTTGCTGGCATATTGAGTATAGCACTTTCACCACATCATCTTTTAGGATTTGAAATAGCTCAACTGGAATTCCATCACCTCCTCTAGCTTTCTTTGTAGTGGTGCTTCCTAAGGCCCACTTGACTTCACATTCCAGGATGTCTGGCTCTAGGTGAGTGATCATACCACACTAGATCATCACTCTAGGTGAGTGACCAATCACCATGTGATTATCTGGGTCATGAAGATCTTTTTTGTATAGTTCTTCTGTGTATTCTTGCCACCTCTTCTTAATATCTACTCCTTCTGTTAGGTCTGTACCGTTTCTGTCCTTTATTGAGCCCATCTTTGCATGTAAAGTTCCCTTGGTATCTCTAATTTTCTTGAAGAGATATCTAGTCTTTCCCATTCTATTTTCCTCTATTTCTTTGCACTGATCAATGAGGAAGGCTTTCTTATCTCTCCTTGCTCTTCTTTGGAACTCTGCATTCAAATGGGTATATCTTTCCTTTTCTCCTTTGCTTTTCACTTCTCTTCTTTTCACAGCTATATGTAAGACCTCCTCAGAGAGCCATTTTGCCTTTTTGCATTTATTTTTCTTGGGGGTGGTCTTGATCCCTGTCTCCTGTACAGTGTCATGAACCTCTGTCCATAGTTTATTAGGTACTCTGTCTATCAGAGTAGATTAGACAGACTAGATTAGAGTACTCTGTCTAACCCCTTGAATCTATTTGTAATTTC